AATGTCTAAATATATATCCAAATACAAGTAACTAATTATGTGGGAATCAAAAGTTCCCAACGACTATAGGGAACACACAGCCATGTTTATATGTTTATTTATAGAGAGCTAAACAGCCATCTAGTGGTTACACGATAGTATTACAGATGATAAATTGTGAATAAGTTAGAGATAAATATTTTTATAAATATTTTAGTAATATTTTGTAAAATCCTCTTAAATTACATGTTAAATAAAAAATTATTACTGTTGGTTCTGTTGGTTCAATTATTATTGAACCAAATTTGTGTTTAAAAAATGGATCAGTAGACAGGTGAAATTATGCATGTATTAGGCTAGTGCAGATACTAGACCTTCTTTACGTATCATCAAAATTACAATATAATATTACAATAAACTAATATATCATATAGCCTGTTGAGGAAGAGAAGGAAACAACACAGCTCGAAATTCAGTATGAACACATAGCCTAATAGTACACAACTTACAAAATATCATGTTTTAATTAAGTTATTTTTTAATGTATTTTTTTACTGTATGTGTACATTAAAAGTAACATTCCGACAGCAAGAATGATCCTGAACTAAATGAAGATTAATGACTTGGGTATGATGTGTTTATTGGACCAATCAGATAAGAGTAAATGGAGAGACAGCGAGAGGCTCATTTGATTGGCTACAAGAAGAAGGTGGCCCCGCCCTCCCCCTCACGCTTGCAAAACTCAATAACAGTAAAATGCTGCAAATAAATTTTTCTTGCGCTTGAAACGCGATTTACACCTTTACAAAGCTTCTCTTGCGCATGCAAATTTAATTTACGCTTACAGTCTTATGTACACTTCCACAACTCTTACCCTGCGAATGCAAATCTTTTTGACGTCATTCTACCTTCATAGTTTTTGCTCTGTCAATGCCATTGAAGAACAGTTGAGCCTCTACAACTAGCTGTTTTGTTCCTAAATTATTCTGTTTTTGAATGAATCATTCACTGGTTTATAAAGACAGTAACTTGTCGCCACCTACTGGTGAAACTATGTAACCTGCAGGAAGTGTCTCAGAAAATTCTGCAGCACCAATGCTGTCAGTCTGTCTGGAACATGCAAACAAGCGGGGTGATACAAATGGTGAAAAGCCAGAGGGATCATGGTTTTCCAGTTTTCCAGCATCTGCAATATACAGGTATGAAGAAGTGGTTTTTGTATTGCTTTGTCCCTGAACTCATTCACTGTGTTATTGCACAATAATAGACAGCAGTGTCTTCAGTCTTGAGGCTGTTCATCTGTAGGTACAGCTGACCTCTGTAGTCATCTCTGGACACTGTGAACCTGCCCTGGACTAACTGGGAATAGAAGATGTAAGAACAGTTTAAATGGATGAATGCAATCCACTCCAGTCCCTTCCAGGGATTTCTCTCACAACAGCTGCAGCACAACTACTGAATGAAAATTCAGAGGATGTACAGACCAGCCAAAAAGATTCAGCTGGTCTTTTTACCACAGCTTGAGACTGAGTGAATGTCACGGTTATGTTCTGTTTTGGTTTAGATTTCCATGTGTTTCTGTCTCCTGATTCAGTTCCTCATTAGTTTCCTTGGTTTTTGATTAATTACTCCACACCTGTTTCAGTTCTCCCTTTTCAGTTCTCTTTAGGAGGAACTCACCAGCCCCACTCCCAAGCCAGAGCCCACCACAGCTGCAGAGCCTGAGTCCGCCACGATAAAAGAGCCAGCGCTGGAAAGAGCGACAGAGCCTAACATCGCCCCGGACCCCGAGCGTGAGAATGAGACTGAAAAAGTGTGTGAGCCGACATCGCCGTGCTTAATAGTGGGAGTATTAGTGGAGATCGAGGGAATGGACTATAACTGTTGGTCAGCGCGAGGACACACCTTTCCGGGAGGGGGCGATATGTCACAGTTATGTTCTGTTTTGGTTAAAATTTCCATGTGTTTCTGTCTCCTGGTTCAGTTACTCATTAGATTCCTTGGTTTTTGATTAATTATTCCACACCTGTTTCAGTTCTCCCTGATTACTTTTCTAGTATTTAAGTCCTGTGTTCTCCCCTGTTCCGGGGTCTGCTATTATTTGTGCTTATGTGGTTGTTGGTTCTCCTGTGGATTATTATTAAATATTACTTTGTACTCTACTCCTTCGTTTAGCGCTTACTTCTACAGCCACTGCGTGACAGTGAAGGTCTGACAATGAATATCTGTGGAGCAAAAACAAAATGAATACACTAAAACATTTGCAGAATCTAAAACTGACTATAGTAAATTAAATTGAATCTGTCTAATTTAGAAAATGGCATTATTTACTGACCATGTAAAAATAATATCAACAAGAGTGAATTCATTTTTTATCATCATTGTCGACTTATCGTCCCCTACAGTAATCGGATCTGTGCTGTCAGCAAATACAGACACATTACAAAGCTTATTGCAGCTTAAGAAGAAAACAAAGTACCGTTTTGCATGAACTCCTCCTTCCATATGCATTGCAAATTTTCTTGCAATGTACAGTATGATAAACAAGTTCACAGGATTTTAAAAGTATAGATAAAAAATCTTTTTTACAGAACAAAAGAAAATTTGCTATTTGTATTTTTTATTTTTTTTAAGAAGATGATGGGATTTTTTCATATTTATGTTTGGGTGGATGTTTTGACCTGAGAACGTTTTTTTTTTACAGAGATGTGGCTTGTTTAGTCACTTTGTTTATACAGGTGCTGAAGAATATATATAT